CTTCATTTTCATTTGAAGGGAACCATAATCAGCCCTTGAAAATTAGACTGTAGATGGTTTAATCCCTAACTTTGTCTTGAAAGAAGGATCATAATCAACCAAGTAGAGGCACCTGGTCTTAGATGATTTATTTCCCTCTATTTCCTTTCTCGAAAGTGAAAATAAAAGAGAGAGAGAGAAGGATACATAGAAGAAGACATATATAGGAAGTATTCACGAAGAGGACCCTTCTTTTCCTACTTGTATTAGTGAGACTTCTTTTCCTTCCCTGTCTTCCCTTGAGCACTTCTCTTTTCTTCTCTCTTTGTCTTCCTTGAGATAATTTTCTCCAAAGAGTACGTCTCTAGCTTCCCCTTAAGGAGCTTAAATAGGGAGTGGGGTATTTATTTAACTACCTCCTCCTCCTAGGTGAAGGACACCTGACCCTCCCACTTAAAGAGAGGGAACTCCCATACAGGATACTTTTTTATAGTTTTGATGATTTGGCTAGAAGATTAGCCAACCCACTTAGGCTATGTTTGGTGATTAAGTGGTTACAAGTGCTTATTGTAAGTGCTTATTTTATCAACCATTTAAGGCTGTTTGGTGCCCCATTTGCCAAATCACTTATTGGGCTGGGGATGTTTGGTGAGCTACTTTTCCACAAGTGCTTATTTTAGCATAAATGACAATTTTAGCCCTCATTTCACCCAAAACGGATAAGTGCCCCTCTGAACCTGCCAAACCATGTCCTAGGTGAGTGTTTCAGTCCATACAATGATTTTTTCAGCTTGCCATGTCTAGTTGGGATGTCCATATATTCCTCCTGCAAATCACCATTACGGAATGCATTTTTAACATCAAGCTGAAATAGAGGCCATGAATAGGTGGCTGCTAGAGACAAGAGTTTTTGAACTAAACACATCTTAGCAACCGGTTCAAAGGTCTCCAGATAATCAACACCATAGGTCTATGTATACCCTTTTGCAACCACATTTCCTAGTACCTCTCTATACTACCATCAGCCCTGTATTTTACAATGAACACCCATCTACATCCGACTATCTTCTTGTCTGGAGGAAGATCAACTATCTCCCAAGTCTGGTTCTTAACCAAGGCTTCCATCTCTTCTTTCATATTGGTTCTCCAGTTAGGTTTGGAGAGAGCTTCAGTAACATTCCTGGGTATAGACACAAAATCCAAGGAAGAAAGGAAGGCTTGGTAGGAGGACGAGGCATTATAGGACAGATGGTGTGAGATGCAATGGGCAGTACACTTTCTCTTCCCTTTGCAAAGTACAATGGGAATATCAAGGTCAATGGGATCAGCTACAACAATAGTGTTAGGAACAGGAGCATTATCATCAAGAAAAAAATAGGTTCAGCCTCAAGGGGAATACCTGGAACTGTATCTGCCAAATCTGGAACCTTAGAAGGACTGATAGAGAGTGGTGTGTGCAGGTTCTCCTAGTTGAGAATGTGTGAAGTGAACCCTCTTTTAGCGGCTGCAATGATAGTGTTGTGTGGCTGCCCGTAGTGGATCAGGTAATGGAACCGACGGAGGTGTTGATGGTAAAACTGATGGAGAAGGAGGCACACGAAGAGGAACACCACCAACACARGATCATAACACCACCACCCCTTTTGGTTTTGAGCATACCCAAGGAAAACAAATTTCTTGGTCTCAGGATCCAATTTCTTGCGATAAGGGCCAGGAATGTGAACATAGGAAACACACCCAAAAACCCTCAAAGGTATATGAAACACCTCCCCATTCGGAAAAAGAAGATTGAATGGCACTTTAAACCCCAAAGTACGTGAAGGGACACAGTTAATTTAAATGCACAACTGTGAGAACTGCATCCCCCAAAAACAAATAGGAACTGAAGCACACACCATAAGACTTCATGCCACCTCCACAATGTGTCCATTTTTCCTCTCTGCTACTCCATTCTGTTGCGGTCTATATGCACTATATGTGAACAACATCGAAAGCAAAAGTACTTTTATTACATGATTTAAAAGAATGTGCACAATGTTTTCTGATGGTGCAGCTCCCTACTGGAAGGTCTAGGTGACTTGGGTGCCAATTTGGTTGGTTCACGGGGTTGACTTGCAAAGAGACAATATTAGAGTGCCTAGGCCACTTTACTCGGGATGGGAACTCCGATGCTTAAGTCAGCAAACTGGGGATTTCGGATAAAGCTAGAAAGAGAAAGAGCTAGAGAGCTGCAAGAGATAATTGCACATTCTTCTTGAAGTTGGAAATGAGACCTTTATGTAGGTATTGTTTGGCATGAGCTACACGCACTGCGTCCGAGATCTTCATGAAGATGTGGCTGACCGGTCTGAAGTACTCGGAGGTAGTTTTGCATGCAGACTAGGCTTTTGTGCCTTCCGCTGGAACATTCGGTACGGGAGCTGACCTCCGGGAGACCCGAGAGTGACGGGATGCACGTAGAGAAGGTCAACAAGCACGTCTCGCAGATCGCCACATGGACCTCAATCGGGTCACAAGTTCTCAAGGGAGGTCACTCCTCACACCGAGGCCACTTCGACCAGTACAAACAAGGTACCACAGGCCAACAAGTCCTCATGGAGGTCACTCCTCACGTCGAAGTCCCTTTGACCGGTGATGACAAGGTACCACAGGTCGGCCCGGGATGAGGTGTTGCTAGCCACCCTGTTGAGGTGTACGAGCTGTGTATGAGGTGTCTTGGATTTATTCCAGGTGCGTCTCCTTGACTCGGTGAGATACGCATCTATCCGCATGGCACTGAAGTATAAGCGGAGGGCCCAATCTGCCATCATCGATTGCCCCCCACACTCAAGACGAGGCCTATTTGGCAAAGGGTGTAGCTTTTTGGAAAATGAGGCCCGAGGCGACCTACTCTAGACGTCRGTCGAGTTAATTCGCTCTAGTAGGCCAACCTACCGAGCTATTGTTGGTGCGAGGGCACACACTTGAAATTTTGTGCATGCCCTTCAAAATTTCAAATGTGGGCTTCTTCCTGGATTGTTGGATTGGGTGAATCTGGACCTTCAATAGTCCACGCTTCTGTCTATAAATTGGCAGGACCCTCAAGGGCCCCATGTCGCTTCCCGATTTTGGACTTAAGCTAAAGCGAAGATTGTTGATGATTTTGCCGACCTCCATCTCAGTTGTGGTTGTTTCCAACAACTCGCCTTTTTCTTCTCGTCGGTAAGTTTCCGTTTCTTCTTAGTTATGTCTAGCGGGTCGGAGAGGGAATGCTACCTAAACGCTCGGGCCAAGGCGGGGACCTTGGCTCAAGAGCGAAGAGGTTCCCATGGGGTCCCCATCTAGAACGGGTTTCAAGCCCTTCAAACTGTCAGGTGAGGATGATGGACCTAATCAACACCTATCAAACCCCTAATAGCTTAAACTGTATCCAGCCCGATGACGGGCAATATTTGTGAAGTAATTCATCACTATGTTTTGGCACTGGATCAACTACATCCGAACTCAAATAGGACCATTGTAGACACCATTTCTCTTAGTTATCACCTTGGTTTCCCCTTAGATATAGGGGTCTTTAGCAAGATATGTCATGTAAAGCGAGACTTCCTCTAAGGCAGACTAAGGGGAGATGTTATCTTTTGTGATTCACTATTGGAAAGAAGTTCATCACCAAAGATGTTATCTTTTGTGATTCACTATCTTTGAGCCTCTACAGAATCCTCTTTAAGGGAAAACTAAGGGGAGACTAGTAGAGTGGAAGAGACTTCCACTAAGGGAAACCCGTTTGTCTTAGCTCCTGCTTCCTCTCTTCCAACTCCTCCCTCTTATTCTCTCTTCTCAGACTCTCCTCATGTTGAATCTACTTGTCCGGTTGAGAGACTAAGACTACAAGTGATGAAGATCCTTGTGGTGCTACTCCTTGAATTGAAGCAATTGCTTGTGACCTTGATGGTAGAAGACAATTCAAATTCTCCAAGTCCCCATTACTTTGTACCACACTTTTATACTCTTTACATACTTTCATCCATTTAGTTAGTTACAATTGAGACTCAGACATTCCCTCCCTCTTAAACCCTATGTGGCTTACTATAGTAGACTACAAACTTGTGTCGATTCTAAAGAAGGCTTTCATGGACTTTGGCCAAAGTTGTCATGGACCTGCCAACTTGCATATTGGGCCTAGGTTCTATAAGAATGTTTTCGAGAAATTATTAATCCAAAAAAAAAGTTTGCATGGACTAAAAAGAGTCATGGTCCAGCTGCCTGCCACCAACTTCGCCAAGTGTGCATACATATCTTTCTTACAAGAGAATTACAAAAATACCCCACTAAATATGATTAGAAAGACCAAAGTACTCTTATTCATTAATTCTCTAAATACTACTGTAACAATTTATTTGAGGACTCAAAATTTATGTAGCAGACCAAAGTGGTTGGAATAAGGTTTTGTGGAGCTGAGTGCATTTGGGTTGTATACACAAGGTTCAAAGTATAAAAATGTATCGGTGCATATTGACCATACATATCAATTTTTTGACCTATCGGTACACTATTTGTTTTTCAAGAGTTTGGGCCCTTTTACATATGGAAATATTAATAGTGAAGCTAATATTATTATCAGTAAAATAACAAGCCTAAAAAAATAGAAAAAAGGGTATCGTACGCTAGAAAGTCTGGATACAACATTTTTGCATATCCAATGTATCGATACTTTCAACCATGTGTACATACATTCATATCAAATTGTATGCATTTATATACATGCACACATGCACAGAGACACATGCTGATATGCACAAATGAAACTAAGCACTTTATGGACAATGCACTACATTCAAGTAAATTTCCAAAAATGTTGATCAAATTAAAAGTCTTGTTTTTGTGGGAACCATGTCAACATGGTCAAAGGAAAACACCATAACCAAAAGCATGAAAATTATATCACAAGATAAGATTGTTTGAAAGACCAAAATAACTATATGCCATATGGATTCTGATAATCAAATTCAAGCCAACGAAAGAGGATTTTGATATAAGACTACCTCTAACAAAAGCTTCTCAAGCACATCTCCAGGAAGCAAATTTTTCTTCAAATTTGGGGACCAATCCTTCACATGACTTAAAGGTCCAGGAGTGACTGATAAATATAAATGAAGAACACAAAAACACCAAACAACAGGTAGTACTGTAGTAGTCAATAATATGTTGACAGACAGCCATGATTAAGGCAGAGGTCATAATGCAAGGATAATACCTTGACAAGGAATAGCAACAGACAATAACTCATCTTGAGAAGATATCACCAAAGTTGCTTTGTAATTGGGTCGAATCCAATCTAAGTCCCTAGTTTTGATCAGTATGTTCTGCACATTTGACATATTCAAATAAATTTTACAGCATATCAACTTAGTGACTTACAGAGCAATGGAATAAGGAAATGTACATGAAAATCATACCTTAACATCCATAGTCATTTTATCAGATGAAAGCCCCACAATCATTTTGTTCACATGGACAATCATATCTCTTTTCATCTCTAGTTTGACCATTAGTTCAGGAATACATGGGAATGGCATGCGATTATTGTATATGTCATAGCATGCAACAGAAACTGGTGGTAGACATGAACCAACCCTGTAAAGGTCAACAGTATCCATAAGGAATAGCTACCTAATGAGAAATTGCCAACCAAAATGATGGCAAGATTTTCACAAATACAATCTTTGCAATGCAATGACAGACAACAGTTATGAAGACTTAGAAACACTTGGTAATGTAAACCTACCAAGAAAACAAAATACAATAGAGAGAAACATTTCAGCCATGACTAAGAAACATGCTGAATCGACTTGCACCATAAAATTTGAAGCAACATGATAGCAGCTATTCATATGGGGTTGGCTACCTTAATCCAGTTTTGCCAATTCTGTTCAGTGTCAAATCCATTTTTACATTATGAGCTCTTGAACATTTCCACTACTTCAACCCATGTCCTTGGTCTGCCCCAATCTCTTCTAGCCCCTTTAACATATAACATATCACTCCTAACAGGTGTTATAGATGGCCTTTTCTTCACGTGACCAAACAATATTAGTCCACTTTCCCTCATTTTTATCACATATTGAAACCACTCCTAGGTTTCCTGGAGTTCATTTCTAACCCTGTCCTTTATTTCTAACCCTGTCCTTTCTAGTTTCTTCCAACCCATCAATCTCAACATTTGCATTTCCGCCAAAGTCATTTTTTGGATATGTTGTTTCTTGACTGCCCAATACTCCACTCTATACAACATTACTGACCTTACCTTACAATTGTTTATAAAATTTTTCTTTAAGCCTAAGTGGTATTCGCCTAACATATAAGACTCTAGATACATCCCCTCTATTTTGCTAATCCTGCTTTAATTTTATGGGTGACATCCTCAATCATTCCCTATTTCCCTCATTATGGTTTTTTTTTTTTTTTGATAAATCTTGTTATGGATTATCAAACTATCTTATCAGAAAAGATTACATTGAATTTCACTTGGTCTCCAATCCTAAGTGTACCTGGATCTGAAATCCTATCCGTAAGGTATTTATCCACATACCTAATTTTGTAAGGTATTTATCCATATTATTAAATTTGCATTGCATATATTCTATTTTAGATCTAATTATTTGTAAGGTATTTATCCACATACCTAATTTTGCATTTAATCTTTTTGTTAGTACCACCAAGTAACACTATGTCACCAGAAAACAACAAGGATCATGAAATCGGTTCTTGAATATGTTTAGTCAATGCATGCATAGCCGGTGCAAATGCGGCTGGGTAGAAAAGAAGTCAAAACTGCTCACAAATTTCTTAAAGATTCAAAAAATCAAGTGAGGCAACCTCCAATGGCTTCACAAATGTCAAGTAACTGAACAATAGCAACCGACCTCCACACGAAATTCCTGATCAAGATTGCATCATCCCCCAACACCAAAACTATATCTCAAGAAAGAATCATAAGAAACCTCCAAACTACTTGATTTCTACATCAAAGCTTTTCTAAAATAAGGGAATATGCCTGGAGCCATGCCTCTAGGTGAGTCACCCCCAAAATACCCTGATCCACATGTCACAGCCACCAATACCACTGAAGTGTATGCCTCAGCTGCACGAGGCACCTCATGCATGTCTCCTAAAAAAAGAAAGAAAGGAAAGGAAAGGTAAGGAAAGCGAAGGGAAGGGAAGGGAAAGGAAAATAGAAAGAAAGAAATAGAAGAGAAGAGAAGAGCAGAATATTAAAGAAAAGAAAAGGGAAAGAGAGGGGAAGGGAAGGGAAGCACATCTTCTTAATACAAGACATCTTCCATCAAAAGAAAGAAGGAAATCCCCCTTCCTCTTCTTCTTCTTCCTCTACCTCATTCACATAGGGTGAAAAAAACTCTTGATCTAGCAATCTAGGGAGCTGAGAGATGATTGAATGAGAGAGAACTAGATCTTCCTTGAGATAGCAGTGAACGTACTGGCACTCCTATGGCTTTCTGAATATGAGGAATATTCTGAATCCGGGATGCTAAGAGAAATTGTATAGAAAGTCTCCCAAAATCTTTTATGTTCATGGGATCTGATTCACTTTTTATATAATTGCTCTTGGAAGTTTCTGGACTGTTTATTATTTTATCTCTATCTGCTCACTTTTAGAAAGTCACACAAAAAGTAAGTCTGAGAAAGTTGCTTGTTAGAGGTTTTTTAAGATAAGTTAAAAAAAAAATCATTAAATAAGAAAAGAGATACAAAAGGTGCAGGTGACAAGGCATCACCCACAAATACATAGGAAAATACAACAATACCAAAAAGGAAAGATAAACGCAAATACAATTGCTCTTGCTTCAACTAACAAAGACTCAAGTCCAAAAATCAGAGCCAAACCCTCCTCACTTAGAATCATTATACTCTAGAAAAATCAGCATCCAATCCACCAGTCTTGAACCAATGTCACTTGTTAGAAGATGATGTGTCAGTGAGTTATGCCACATCATCTTAGTTTGTCATGGAGAGTTATGTAAGGAACATGATACTAGACAATGCACCATTCCCAGCCCCACATGCATCCCACAGTTGCCAAAGTCGGTCACATACTGCCCATGACCTTATTTTGCAACATCTATTTGTGCTTAGTTGATGGTGTTGTGCATGTCAATGATCTTATGCTAGGATATTCAAAATAATAAAAGAAAATGCCACACCTTACACAATATGACAACTTCTGTACATCACTTATGAGTCCCCAATTCCCGACTTCAGAAGATGGTTTGACAAGTAGACTTTTTTCATACACCTTAATACTAGAATCTGTACAGACCTAGCAATCCTCAAAGCAAGAAGAATATGGTAAGTGTAGAATCCAACATCCAGAAAGAATAGTCTAGTATTCACTTAAGAGCATAAAAAAAAAAAAAACTTACTGCAGAAAATGAAAACATATAAACGCCAGCTCTTTGAAAAAGCTCAGGAAATTTGCATCCAAGTGAAAAGATATATAAGCCATGAAAACCTTTACAAGATGAAGGTTTTACACGTTCTGCATAAATGTGGTCTCCACCACATTTAGTGTTGTCTTTAGAAAATTTAATTTCCATACACATCTCCAAATCACCCCTAAAAATGTGCTTTTGATCCAGAGCTTTTGGTGTGCTAGAAGAAATGAAACTTTCAGGCCTAATAACTGCTGTAATTTGTGGTGGAACTGCATGCCCAGCATGAACTGAAGCATTGAATGGTAGTGCCTAAAACAAGAGACAACATATTATTTGTTTTCAAGTAAAATGTAGTAATCCAAAAATATTATTTTCCAACAATGAAGTGGACTGACCCCATCAATTTCCAATTGTTGACACTGTTCAACATTAAGTACATCAATTACTGCTGGAGCCTTTTGACGTTGTTTCTCCAGTTGCAAATTCCATTCATCAATATCTATTGCTTGAAACTGTTACAAATGATTAGGTTTTAATGAAATACCCAATTTCCATCATACTAGTATGGAAATAGAAACTTAACAACATAAAGGACTATAGAACCTTTCCAGAATCGATCACACTAATGGGAAAAGATAAAGAACCACGAATGTCCAGAGTGGAATTTTCAGCATTTTTCAGAAGCAAACAGCCCCTCTCATCCGGGACACCAAGTGGCCTCAACAGAATAAAACACAGAAGCAAAGATAAAAAATTTAGAGCACCATATTCATTAGGTTAAAAACCTCTGAATTCACAAAAATAAGAAATAGCATACCTGCAAATAAGGCGAGCCTCCCCTATTGACAGAAAGCAGGATATGTAATAACAGCAAAACAAATAAATATTATCACAATGTTCCTTAAATCTGTAATTATCAGAAAATAACATGTACATGTACTACATTTTGCTCACTCTTTAAAATATTTATGAGAAAAGAGGCAATATTTATCCATAATCATGCATAATTTTACTTGTACAGAGGATATCAGTCAAAGCCCAAGATATAAATACAACATTATATTATAGGAGTGACTGAAAATAATACATATAGAGTAAGATAACAAATTTACAATTATCTGTCTATAGTCTATACTATTAGAAATTACTTACCACCCACATCTCCTTCTGATTCTTCGATCAAGATGTACTCTAGTGTTGCATAAATGTTGTTTTTATGACAGCCAACTGCTCCTTTAAGGATTTTAACTTTCTGGCCCGATCTCCAAATTGTCCCTTTCCGCCATATTGCTTTGTGAACCCTCAAAACTGTAGTCCAGATAAAACAAAAATTACGATAAAAACTGCCAAATATCAACTAAAAACAAGAGAAAAGATCAACATTGCCCTCACAAGATTAAGCCTTTTCATGTAAGAATACAAAATAAATAGATGAAAGAAATARAAGTTGTAACAATTACAGCAACTGAAAATAAAATTCTACTTACCATCAGAAGAAATGGCAAGCCCCTTCTTGTTGCATGGGTTCAGAACATAAGTAGCCTCATCATCACCACAGTCTTCTTTATCATATCTGTCATGCATCTGCATGACCCAATCATGATACTCCTTTTCTAGTTGTGAAAGGCTCAAAAGTTTTCCACCTCTAGAAATTTCAATAAATGTCTCTGCAATTTTTACAATTAATCTTGAAATATTTGACTTCACACAGATTTTAAAATAAAAACAGAAGAATCTACAAGGCACTCAAATATATATGTGCATGTCTGTATATAGTCAACTAGTAATGCAGCATTACCATCCTCCTTCTCAGGATACTTTTGACCGAAATTCTTCAAGGCGGTAGTATATGGATGATGATGTGCTAGGTCAGTCTGCAGAATATAATACCATTGAACTGATCATATCAATAAATACTAGCAGCAATCAAGTAGTCCAAGAAAGTAATAAGAAGATTTCAAATTTGCATGTACTCCAAAAAACATATAAAAAACTGAGGATATTACAGAAAAAAAAAAAAAACACCAATACACCAAGAATGACATAAAGCCCAGTTTTTGCAACTAAAACCAACCAAAGCCCTCACAATGTAAGATACTGCTCGAGTCAACTCAGAAAGAGAAATATTAATTTTAAGTTTTGATTCTAAGCAGTTATTCCAATCTTTGAAAAAAATGAGGATATTATAGAACATTCCAGTGCAAGAACAGAAAAACATGGAATATTTCAGTAAAACCACAATACTGATGGAATGGACGTGATTCCACATAAAACAATCAAAATACTTTACAGGTATAAGAATACTGGTCAGAAGTATAAACCACCCCTTATAGGATACAGTAACATCCAAAATAATGTTTAAAACATAGATTCTACGAATAAAAAAGACACATTGCAAAAACCTTGCATCTAATGATATCACATAACAATCGATGCATTAGACAAGAACAAAAGGGGTGTATCAAAATATATAATGTTGAATCTGTAAAAACAATAGGTAATTTTGATTTTTTAAAATGAGTTTAGAATAAAAAGTCATTCCTTGAGTCCGAAAAGATACTTTAGGTTTCATTAGAACTCAATCTAACTGATTCTCATAACAATAGCCCACACTAGACAACCAGTGAAGTATAAACATGATAAAGTAATAGAAAGGAATCAGCAATCACGTCTTGTGCCATTGTAAGGAAACTCCCTGTGACAATTAAAGGGCATCCACTATAAATAGCAAAAAACATGAAAACATCCACCATTTATAGTTGCCTACAGTTACATGTTACTGAACAATAAGCCTAACTAAAATCCATAGCAATGGAAGATAGTTTTGCAGAAAAAAGAGAATGCCAATTAAAAGCATTAACCGGCAGAAACAAATAGAGTCGATTGAAAACAAAGAAAAAAGCAAGGGGAACTACAGAATCTAGCAATCCAAGTTCTCAGTAGAGAATGGGTATATTTTCATGAAATGTCATCTCAAAATGTGGTACTACTATAATCAAAAGATATCCCCTTACCTTAGAAGGTGTAGGACTGAAACCAGAATCAGTCTCTGCATCGAGAAAAAAGTTATTGAAAGCTTAGAATGAATGAACCAACTAAGTCTCCCAATTCCATATTAACAATAACAGATATTGGAGTAATTGAATAAGCTAAAGCAATTAATTTACCAACAAAGCATTTCACCCTCAAGCAACATCTCTTCAACAATTGGGCCCTGTATCCTTTTTTTTGCCTAGGTTCCATAAAAGGAAGTATTCCCTATAGTAAAACAGAAACACATTACTATGCCGACTTCCCGTTCCTGTCCCAAATACACTATCACACATACATGTACCTATGCACAGAGACAGTGCACCTGACATGAATTAAATATTCAAATAGTGAGTAAAAATATTGTAGTTCATGTAACTATGAGATAGCATACAGGAGTGGTGTATTTATAGATAAGGGTAATTTTGAGTAAACTATTCTTTTACTTATCTCAATTATCTTCTTCATTCTTCTTACACTTGTCCAGCAAGGGATTAAGGTTTACAAGTTGGAAGATAACTGATTGCCTTACCTGTAGCAGAATCATTATGGCTTGCAGATGTCATCACACCTGTACAATCACATACCTTAAACAGGGGAGTTCTCTCTACAAGTTCAGAGAAGATAATATTACAATTTCCACAGTAATTTTTCTATGATTTTTTTGTAGTAGTTCAGAAATTATTTTAGAATTTTCCCTGAAAATAGAAAACAGCTCAGTATGTATTGATGTTCCCTACATCTCTAAGGATGGTATCCAGATACACCCTATCCCAAAACTCCCACAGCTTTCCGCAGAATGAAGTTAACAGAGTTAAAACCATTTCTCCATTTCTGGAACACTAAGTACATGCCATTTATAAGCCAGGTACCATCATTTCAAACCATGTCAGGCGCGTAGCCAAGTCATTAGATGGGTATCCTTGCTCCCCCCCCCCCCTAACTTTTCAAAGGAAATGTTACTGGGTGGGGGCTGTTCTCCATTATCCCTCATTGCTTGCCCCCCTCCCCCAAGATAATATTCTGGCCCCACCACTGCTTATCGTAATCTATTTACAAAATGAAAATATTATAGATGTTTTTTAATGCGCAGAACAATGTCATTCTTCTTCTTTGCTTAGATTGCTTTGAATGGACACTTGATCTCCCAATTTTTTCATATAAAAACAGAGGCCCCATTTTTAAAGGAATGTTGAGAGATGGCACATCAAAGTTGATTTCCCTTGCACTCCTCTTTGCATGTTAATCCCTTCCCTTTTCTTGGTTTGCCTTGCTATCATCCTTTACACTAAATTTAGCTAAATGCATAAGTAAGACTGTAAAGTATTCATGTAGCAGTAAGAACTCCATGTTTTCTTTTTTATTTATTACCAAAAAAAAAAAAAACAGTGTTCACCATGTACATCCCTCCTTATTGTCCTTCTATCCTCTCTTGCCATTAATAGGGTTGGTAAATGTTAAGATGATTCTCTCCATTCTCCAAATCTCATTAACTTCAGGTTGGGGTTCTCATTTCCCCTTGTCAAGAATTGAGGATTGGGATTATCAGAAGGCCCCACTTAATGCACAACAATTCTGAATTTCAAAGTGGCTAGCTCATTCCAACTACCAACAATCAATTCCAAATTATGATCCAATGTCCTGTACATCCATTCCCATGCTGAGTTTTACTCCATTGTCAAAGTGGCTAGCTCACCGATCCTCCACCTTATTGGTGTTGAATTTCTGATTCTGACAATCATGGGTATTACTTTAGAGCCTGATTGTACAAGGAATATTTTTTCTTTATCCAAGTTTTAGTTTTACCTGTGTTCCAGTCAGAACCTTTCTCACTCAGAGGACATCTAAACTGGAAAATACAAGGGGTTTTTATTGTTCAGTCCACCCTAACAAATCTTAGTTCCACTGTACAGTTGGGGTGGGTGCCAGCTCCGAATTGATACCAATACATGGGCAGGTATTGGTGTTATAGGTGGGGATATTTGAAATTTTGAATTGTTGTAGGCCTGCAGTGGAATTTAGAATTCTGAGGTGGAGTGCAGTATAGTTTTTATAAAATTCAAAAATTGTTTTGATTTTCCCTGTAACAAGCTGTTGAGAAAACTATGGAGTGTTTACCTTCCCATTGGCTCCTTACCTGTTTTTCAACTAAAGCCCACCTACACTTGAGCAGGTTACCCAGATTAATGCATGTCTTCCTGTCCCTTCTCTATGCTGTCCTGTTTAGAGTTCTTGATCTTGAGTTTCTTGTCCCTGACTCCATTTTGAATTTAAGATAGCCCCTATCATTGTCCCCTCCGAGTACAGGAAGATGTGGGACCCCCAGGAAGTAGGGGTTTTACCAATTTGGCTTTTTCCCACCCTATGTATCTCTTGTTTGAAAGAGATAGCAAAGAATTATCTCACACAACTTCAATCCAGTTTTCTTCTGTATAATTTCCAAAAAAAAGGGGAGCCTAATGCACAAGATTCCCGCCAATGCGGGGTCTCAGGAGGGAGAGATGTACACAGACTTACCCCTGCAAAGAGGAGGTTTCCTATATTTGAACCAGTGACTTAAAAGGCACGCCTAGGCGCACAGGCGAGGCACCTAGGTCCCAGGTGCAGCACATTCAAAAGGCACAAGCCTGGTGTGCTTTGCTCTTCAGCCCAAGAACATGACTTTTGAAAATTTGTGCATTTTTTTCTGGTTATTATTGCTTAGCAGCTGGGTCGGGGGCTCTGCCTCCGTATTCGCTAATGATGCTCATTCACCCTAAAAAAGATATTTCTAAAAGACACTTAAAGTAATAAAACCATATTTATAGGGATTATGAATTGAAGACCCTGATATGGACTTGCTTGGACATTTTTCTGGTTTTTGAAGCTTAGCAACTGGGTCAAGGGCCGTATTTGCTAATGGTACTCATTCATCCTAATAAAAGATATTCTTAAAAGACATCTAAGGTAATAAAACCATATTTATAGGGATTAAGAATTTAAGACCCTGATATGGACTTGTTTGGGCTTCCCTAGAGGGGCTTGGTACAAAGGCAGCTCATAGAAAAGGGAATGCATAATGTTTACCATCACATTAGCTATTTTAAGTAATGCAAATGGGGAAACATAAAGTGATTAAGAGTTTATATGCTTGATTTTATTTTTATATTTTCATTCTAAATATGTTTTACATGTTATGTCTATGTATTTTAATTCGAGATAAAAGGTTTCTTTAAAACATTTATTTTAGAATTTAGGTTTGTATTTTTAATTAATATTGTGTTTAGTATTTTTAATATTCTGAATTTTTTGGCATTTTTTTTGAATTGTTTTAGCATTTTTGTGCCTTGCTTCAAAAGGGTGGTGCACACCTCAGCCATCGCGTGCAAAATGACCCTTGCGCTTTAAGCTTTTATAACACCAATTTGAACCCTGGTCACCAAGTTGCAATGGAGCAACTCAACAATTACGCCAAGGCCCACCCTCTATATAATTTCCAGAAATGTTTCTTTTTAACATCCATAGTCCTAAAGTCATAATATAATTATCAAGACTTCAAGCCAAGTAGGCATCTATTATAAAACAATATTACATTTCTCGATCCCAAGATAATAATCAACCATAGATTGATTAATTTCTAAAGCCTAACACATCTCACATGCTAACAAAAATTTTTGTACTAAGATAGTGGCCACAATATACAAGTTTCCAAAGCAGAGATCCCAATAAAAAATAAAAAGAAGTCTGTCTAGAGACCACAATTTACTCTACTTTCTAACAATCAACAAATATAAACCTCAGATGCAAGTATACAAAATCCAACTGACCCAACGAGCATCTGGAAGTAGACGGCCTAACCGACGAATTGATACACGACAAAAGTTGTCAAAGTTCTCCATTATTCTACATCCACTGGCATCAAGCTCTTCCAAAATCCTATCAAAGCTCTCTTTGCCCTATGCACCAATTTAAAAGGTTTTATGATGAGCAAATATTCACCAAACTAACAAGTAAACAAGAAGAAAGATAAAATTTACGCAATTCAACATCTATAAGCATTTAGCTTGTTAAAATGTTATTAGCACTCTTTAATACCTAATTCTGAAGGGAAAAATTATAAGACAAAACAACGATATTAGTGGTGAACTACCTCGATAATGGGAAAGTACACACACTTCAGGCGTGCATTAGCTTCTTGACAAAGCCTTGAACCTAACAAAATTCCGAGCATAAGAAATTTATAACAAAAGTAAAAAAGAAAAACAAAGCAAATTTTCTAGTGCTCATAAAGTTGTTAATTGCAAAAAAAAAAAAAAAAAAATCTTGTCGCTGGCAACCATGATAAGATATATTATCCAACAATAGAAACAGTGTGAAGTGTTATAAATCTTTGAAAATATTTACAAGTATTTCAAGATATGACAAAACAGGACTTGGAAATCAGACCAGTAATATTCTTGACTATTTTGTGATGAATCAAGGAAGAAAAGAAGAGAAAAACATATCTAAACAGAGAAGAAAAGAGGTTTTCGAAAGGTMAAATTGTGGGTTAGCACTATTGTTCCACTATGCTATTGTAGTCATAACCCATTAATTTGTAAAGCCGATTTTCTTGACCCACATTGAGAACTGGATGATCCACCAAAAACTTAAGACTCCTCTCGTTGTTCAGATGGTAAACCTCCAACCCAAGTGATATGTTCTCCACTTCTAAACAGAAATCACCATGGCCATAAATTCCTTCTCGAACATGGATTTTCTGTTCCTGTGGAGACAAAGTTTAATGAAATGGGACACCAGGTGGCCTTCCTGCACTAAGATGCCTTTATATGACATCTACTTCCACCACAAACTCCTCTCAAAAATCTGAAAGTGCCAAAACCAATGCTGATGTGAAAGTTTGTTTGAGCATAATGAAGGGCTGTTTTCCGAATCCAACCCCAACCATGCATATGAGTTCTTCTTGAGGAATTGTGTCAAGAGAGACACTAGAGTGCCATAGCCCTTAACAAATCAACGGTAGTTACCAGTTAATCCCAAGAAGCCTCCTCTCCCAGCAAACATGTATTTTCAACCAGTTCAACTTCTTCATGGGAATACTTTGGGCTGCCAATCTGATTGTCTTGCTCAGGTTGGCTTCGGGATGGTTCAGTGAAGTCTTCAAGATTGGCTCAACTAGCTGAATCAGTTAATTCAAACCATTAAACCATTCTTCATTAAGCCTTGCTAGACTGGCAACTGCTACCACCAATGTAGGTTAAATGGCCTTTACTTCAAGGCAGAAATCCTCACAAAATCCTTCAAGAAGCAGCCAACGAGGACTTTTTCCAAACCACCTATAGATTCATAGTTAACCTCTCAAACTCTACTTGATAGCCTCATACTCTTATATTGATCCAACTTGTTGCATCTTGGTCAATGCCTCATCTTAGTCTTCGAAGACAAAAGGCCTCAACTAGATGTAAAGAGTTTTAGTGAAGTTGCTCCAAGTTACCCAAGCATGTGAGCACTTGTACCAATGGAACTTGTACCAATGATGTGAGCACCATCTATGTGAATCAAGGCCACAACCAATCATTCATCGCTTAGTACATCCTAGAACTTGAAATACCTCTCTAAACTTAGATCCAAATGGGTCCACATTGATGAAGGTTGGAAAACCAATCTTGACTGTTCAACAAAAATTTCTGCCAGATCGTCACGCACTACCCTAACTATATCCTTCAAAACCACTCTCATTACCTCTGATTTAAGCAGTGATCTTCTCACACTTCAACATGACCACCATTAGAGAGCCTCTTTAATTTCACATAAATCTCCAATGAACTTGTCTAGACCTACCTCAGTCTAGTCAACTCGCTCCCCCATGGATGCCAATTTTCATATGGTTATCACGAATCGAGCTTTGATAACAGAATTGATTAGATACAACTCTCCTTAGGAGCCTCCTTGAGGTAGACTCTTCCTCTGGAAACACGCACACAAACAGAGAGAGAGAGAGGGAGAAATAAAGGTGTGTTCGGTTCAAGGGAAGATTCTGGTGATATGAGAAGGGGAAAATGTATGGAAATTTTTCACGTTCCAAGGTTTTGTTGCAAAAGGAAAAATAGTGGGAAAACAAACCCTAATAACAAATACTAATTAACTAATTAGGTAATTAGTGCATTTATTTTTTATATTATGCAATTAATTAATTACTAATTACTAATTACTAATTACTAATTACTAATTATTAATATTTTATTAATTAGTTAGCTTATATACTATTATTATTATTTACATTTTATTTTAATTATTATTTTATGTTAATTAAATTAATGATAATAAATTAATCATTTCATTAATTAGTTTTTTATTTATTACTTAATTAACAATATTTTCATGGTTTAGTATTTTATTAATTATTAATTAATTTTCAGAACTAATTAATTAATTGTTAACATTAATTAATATTTTAATTTTTATTAGTTTATATTTTATTATTCATGTTTAAGACTTACTTAGAAGTTTTAATATTTTATTCTGAAATACTAATTAATCATTAAATTACTATTAATTGATTAATATTTTTATCAGTTATTTATTTTAATTTATTTACTACGTATTTTTAATTAAATTATTTTATTAATACGTTATTAAATCATTAATAATTTATTGATGGGTCATATTGAAAGAATGGTAGGATCCATCTAATGGACGCCATAAAGGTTG